CGGACCAGAGGAGACCAGATGAAAGGAGGTGGGAAGGAGAGTCAAAGGAGGAGCAAGGCACCCACGCCCTTTCTTTTTTCCTGCTGTGTTCGTCACTGCTCCACTCTGCAGAGGTAAAGCAAGGGTGGGAAGAAGCTGGCCTTGCTCTCAGCTTTGTGGCTCACCTCTTTCTTGCCGGATTGAACAGCCAGTCACAGAAAACAACAGGAAGGTGGAAGTGCCTCCCACCAGGGTTGGATCAGAAGTTGCTGCACCTCCGGGGGGGGGGGGCGGGGGGGGGGGGAACATGTCACAGCAGGAACAAGTCGCCTTCATCTTGGTCTGACGCTGGGTTACCATCCAGTTTTTCATAATAAATATCAATGAACTAGAATTCACCTTCCTTTAACTGGAAAGTTAAAAAGAACTGGTTTGTCTGGTTAACTGAGGGTAATTTAAAAGGAAAATATATGCCTGCTTTAATCCTTTTGGTTGAATATTTTTTAAAAATGTGAACCTTCCCTCTCCACTGAGACTTCCTAGCATACTCTTCATTCACCAAGACTCCCTGCATGTGAAGGACCTTCCAGGTCCATGATGCGGTCATTTCTCATTTTGCCAGCCGGCAGGAGTAGACCAGTTAGTTGGTAGAAGGCACCAGCTTGGCATTCCACATCGACCATGCTGGTCTGTAGTCATGATGAAGGCATGAACTCTCACAAAGCGAGAAAAAATTTATTTCTTGGTGGAAAATCACTAAATGAAAGAGAAAACCTTGGTGAAATTTGAGAAGGTGATTAACTTGTCTTGTACAGATAAACATGGGAACCAGATGGTTTTAGATGGGAAAACTGTGATTTGGGAGGAAAGCAGGAGTCAACATAAATACTTCTGAAGCAGCAAACTTGGGGGTTTGAGGTCTCAGGACATAGCGTTTTTGAAAGTTGAGGGTCAACTGTACAGATAGCAAAACGTAGCTGGATTCTTGCTGGCTGAGGTTATGGTGGGGCCTCAGAACCCTACTGTGGCACCGGCTTAGGGAGACAGATGTGGGGGGTGCAGGGAATTGGACTGTGTTTTCACATTCTAACTTCAGGGCAATTTAACAGATAAATTCTTGGTTTGGTCACTACTTGTTTCATGAGCCTAAGAGAGCAGCCTCTAGACATGAAAACAATACAAACACTTCATTGATTATTCAGATTTATTACGTTCTTCTCAACCCTCGGGTTACTGTGTAGTTCTATGAGGAGCTGCCTGACCCAGTTAAAAAGGAAACCCAGCAACTTTTATTTAATTAACAACAGAGGTTAAACCTAATGAAAAGTCGTTTTGAAATTTTTACACATACTCTTTGTATCAGTAAGGCCAGAGAGAATGTGGTCACCAGAGAGTAACATTACGGGGAAGATGAGAATGGGTTAATGGTCAGCTAAAGGCAGAGGCCACACAGAACGAACGGTGGAGGGAAAATAGCAATAAGGAATGGTACTCTGCTGTTTCTTTCTATTCCTCTCCTGCTGCACTCCTCATCTCTCCATTCTGCAGTGAGACAAATGATGAGCAAGAACTCACCCCATCATTTTTCCCCGTACATACACAGAGACATCCCCGGGAGCTAAATTCACAAGTGACACCACTGACTCGGCAATGCCCGGGCTGTATGTGCCAGTGAGTGTTATCTGTGTGATGTGCTATGCCTCAGTCCTGGCAGTGCCTGTGGGAGAGACTAGTTCTCTTGCAGGACGGTGACAGAGACCAAAGGCCTCTTGCACACTGAATCTATGGAGACCCGACACACCCACGCACGTTTACCTGGGGAGCCCGCCAGAGAGTCCCCTCTGCTGAAGGCGAAGGTACGAGACACAGAGACGGGCACTAAAGAGTCAAGGGCCAAGGATTTGTGAGTTGCGAAAGAGAAGATAAACAGAAAAGGAGAAAGACAAAGAGCAAAGTGTGTGAGTCAGTCTGTTCTTGAGTCTTCACGGCATCACATTTCTCTGCAAAAGGGAATCTTGCCTCTGAAAACAGGGAAATTGTAAATCCTCTCACAACGTTACTCTCCAGAAACAGGAACATAAAACAGTCTTGGCTGAAAGTCTTCTGAAAAGATGCGCAGTAATCTTAGAGGGGATTCGACCTGCCGCTGACGAGAGCAGGCAGGGTCCCTGGGAGGAGGTGGGGGGGGGGATGACGTGTGTCTACAGCATTCTCTCAGAGCCCGCAAATATGCTGGGAGTCCCGCCCTGCCTCGCCCCCGGGGCTCCCCAACCCCCACAGGGCCCTGCCCCCCTGCGCGGTGGCTAAAAGCAGAGTGCGTGATCCTGCCAGGGGCAGCGGGAGGAAGCCTGCCTCCGCCTCCCAGGGGCTCCTCCGTGGTCACCGTGCTGGGCATGAACTGTGCATTGCTGGATCAAGGGGGCGTTTCTGTCTGGGAATCTGCCTTCCTCTCTCTTACCAAATTGATCGGAGAGCCTTTCCTTGGGGACTAAAGGAAGTCAGTCTGCAGGTGACAGCACACCGAAATCGGCAGCTTCTGTGGTCTTATCTGCCACACCAGGTGAGGGTACGGACATTACCCACACACGCGGGGGAGCGGGGAGCTTTATACCTACCTGATTGATAATCATTTGGTCTGACACCAGATGTCAAAGAATATTGGAATGGGTTCCTAATGTGAGACATACTGGGATAAGAAACCCCACAGTCTCAAGAAGCATCCTAGAGCTTTCTGGGCCGCCAACAAAATGTACACCCCACCAAACAGGTAGGAGACAAGCCTCTCCCTGCCTGCATTGCCCTGTGGGCATCCGTTCCTTCCACCCTGAGCTCAAGCCTGGTTCCTTCAGAGTTCCCAGGCTCACCGTGATCCTCCTGGGGTCCCTGGCAATCAGATCCTAGAGAAAGGAGACGGTGCTGGCTGTGTTCCCTTTACCCTGCACAGGAAAACTAAGGTCTTACTGATAACCTCAACTTCGACCTTGAGGCTAGATTCCCCAGGCGAGTGTTCTGGCGAACCTCACCCCATTTATCTCCCTCAAAGGCTAATAAAGCTACAGGCTGGCTTCAAGGACAGGGGTAGTTTGCTAGACCGAGACCCTACAAGAATTCACTGCCTTATGCTCTCCTTTGACTGCATGCTGAGGTTCGTTGCCCGTGAGCAATGCTGGGTGGCTGGACCCTGGGCTGGGGGTGCACCTGGCACAACTGTGGGGTGTGGTGGCCTTGGTGGATGTTTTACACTGTACTCCGCTAGGTGGGGAGCGCTTGCGGGGACGATGGAAAATGTCTCCACACCCCTACTGGCCAATTCGATTTCTTTCTCCTTCTGAAGATTTATAAAGATGCTCAGAAGTGAGGGGAGGGAAAGAGTCTAATGCTCCTTCTTAACCAGTTTTGAAGGAGAGATCAGTGTTGTAAGTTTACTCCTGTCTCACTGATAAAATGGAAGGAGAAATGGATAGAGAGAACTAGAGACAGGTAGGAAGGAATGGAGGAAACCAGGTAACAGCTTCCCACAACTTTCTAAATAATTTTCTTTTTAAAGAAAAAAGGTTATCCATATTAGGTGGGCTGAGGAGCCTCATGTAGCTCTTTGTTCTCCCATCTTTCGGTCTTCTGAAAGAGCCAGAACAGGGTCCCTTGTCTAGGTAACATTCAGAATCTTAGGAATTACTCCACCCTGAGCAATCCCTAATGTGATGGATGGAAATCTCCTTTAGAGAACCAAGACTTCGTGGTCCTGTAGCCCATCCCTCACCCATCCAGAGTTCTTGTTCTAAGATGATGATGCTTCCTTCACCAACCTTGTCTGAGATTCGTTGGCTTATACAAGTGTAATACTGTACCAAGGCTTTACTTTTATAGATCTTCAGCTCACGTTGGGCCACGCCTTGGGTATGGGGAGGTACTTCAACTTCATTTCAGCCTTCTGCTCGGCTAGGGTATGAATTACACTGTAAATTGTTCCACTATTTCCACATGGAAATTGCATTCTGGAACATGATGGGTCTCAAATCTGCATTTCCTTGTGCTGCGTGAACTAGCCAGGACACGGGCATGCATCCGGGTAGTCATCACTTACTGGGTAATCTGGAGCAAGTCAATTCTTTAGTTTCTCTGTGTTAAAATGGTATCTACCTTTCCTGTGCCAGGGATTGTGATATCAAGCTTTGGGATCCTCTGATAAATCCCAATAGAAAGTACTCCATCAAATCTTTTTTATGTTGAGAGGAAACACCCCATTTGTCACGAAAATAGCCCCCACTGTAGACACTAACAGCTGAAAGCAATGCAAAATTCACACCCGTGAATCAAAAAGAAATCTAGAGAAATAATTCCTTCTGGATCACGCTTATATCCCCATAAACGCCATGCCTTCTAAACACAAGTACAATAACTCCACACAGGAAACAGTGAGAAGGTAGAGCACGGACGGGGCAGAACAAACCAGCCATGAGCCCTGTGGCAGCCCCCGGCATGAGCATGCACAGCCATCTGGCAGCCAGCTCTCCACCAGCTAAGATGTGGTGATGAGGAAAGAGAAGCAGGTGAGCCACATACCGCGCCAGTCTGGAACTTACATCCTAAGCCCTTGTGGGCACTTCCTACTGACACAGTAATGACAGACCCATGTCAGGTAAAATGAAGGCCAGTGCGCGAATTATATCCTAGCAGAGAAGGAAAGGCGGAACTTCCACCAGAGCACCCCAATCACCCACCTGCATTCTCCGGCAGGTGACAATAAATGGGGCCCCTCCCCTCACAACTTCCCTCCCTGTCATTCGTCACTTGCACAGGAGCAGAGAAGCAGCAGAAAACATTCCAAACACAGCAACGAAGCACCTGTGGTCGGTGGGTACCTGGCAGGAGGCAGTGTTCCTGGCAGAGCATTACAAAGAGGCTGCCAACATTGGGGTCAGCCCCAGGCCAGGCTCAAAGTGTTCGGTCCAGGTCCCCAGAGTGGGCTGAGGCAGGACCACGGTGGGGGCGGATGGGGGAGGGGTTTGAGCGATACATACAAAAGACCGAGGATCCAGCCAGACTTCCGACCTTCCGCACATCGTTATCTAAGGGCAGAAGGACGCAGTTCAGAACACACCCCTTCTTATGGGAATGCCCCCTCCTCCACCCCAGCCCCAGCACCAATTAACCCTGCAAAAACCAGGCAATCAAATGGAAGTGTAAAAAGCAAAATAAGCTTGTCCTTTCATACAGAAAAATACCACTATCCACTCCTGACACTTGATAATGTTGCAGTCTACCATGTACTTCCACAAACAAACTCTCTGAATGAGACAGGACTCTTAGACCCATTTTACGGAGGAGGAAACTAAAGTCTAGCAAGTCAAATGGCTCGTACAGAGAGACCCTAAAAGGAGTCAGGACTTGAGCCCAGATGTTCTCTTCCACAACATCCCGTTGCTTCCCCCAAGAAGCTCTGGCTTGGGGGCTGGGGTACCTGAGCAAGCAGTAGTCATGACGGCTGGGACACCATAGTAGGTGAAGGCTCCATTCTCGAAGCGAAGGCCTTCCTTCCCAACCTCCACTTCTACTTTACCCTGGGGAAAGAAGGAAGTATACTGAGGGCGTGTAGGAGTACTTCCAGTTCTATTATTGACTACAACCCTAAGCACTTCTGTCTGGATGATGACAGGTGGACTTAAGTTCCTATCACAGGGAAATGTGAAGTCTATCTGGATCCATTTCAAAAATAGCACCTCCGACTTCAGTAGCCCTTGGCAACACATTAATGGCTTAATTCATAAAGGAGCATCCCGTCCTGAATAACCAACTCTCTTCGCATGTTCTGATGGCCCTCCCGTGATGAATGTCCCGGCCCCAGCTAGCCCCGGGCCCCGTAAACTGCTGCATTGGTTTAGTCTGAGATTAGACCGTCTCTGAGTCTGGTTGAGAGAAAATCAGATTCCGTGCAGAGCTTGTTTAATTCATCGCCAGGAATAATGGCAGCTAATGGCTAGCCTGTAGCGTGTATCTGTGGGCTGGTGCTGCGTTATGTGCCCTGCACAGATTCTCACTCCGTCCCCCCACCCTATGAGGCCCAGTTTTTATTTATTATTTTATTTTATTTATCCCCAGTTTACAGATGAATCCATTTGAGGCTCAGAGAGGTTAAATAACTCGGTCAAGGTTAGTTAGGAAGCAGCAGTACTGGCATTTTAAAGCCAGATCTTTCCCATTTCTGAACCTGCACTCTTGCTACTACCTTTCACTCCCTCCAACTTTTATTTGAAAATGGTTACGTTTACATGAAGCATAGGATAGTAGGTTATATGGGTTCATTATGTTATATACACAACGTAACGGGACTCTTGTTGATTTTCAGCCGTGAAGAGTGGGACTCCATTTTTGGAGAAGGGAGGTCACTTTTTGAGGCTACGTGGAAGGACGGGTGTGAGGCCCACCACAGGGTCAGAGCAGACAGGCTGTAGGTGGACTGTAAGCAAAGAGAGGCCACTTCTAAGGTAACTGAGCTTAATTAAGATTTTTAAGGCAATCCCTGTATTTAAGGTCTGGAAGATTCTGTTGCGAAGAGATGGGTAATAGTGACAGGGCCAACGCTGGAGCCGGGCCAGGGAGCCAGCGGCGTCACAAGCTGGAACCACAACGGGACATGTATTCATGACAGGCCTATCCAAGCACCCAGGGCAGAAGGCGATGGTAGTTATGTGAGCACCGGGAAGACGCTGTGCCTCTTCTTTCCGTCATTTGTTCCCTCCCTGGTCCTCTTAAGGAGGAGAAGTTTCAAGAGGCGGCAAAGGCTGAAATGTGGCAGAGAGAGTGGATGTGTTCCTTGCACCTCCAGAGCAAGGAGCGGCTGGGACGCAGACATGGTGAGATGTCAGCACGACAGACATGTTGGGAGGTAGTAGGACCGTTGCATTCCTGGAGACGTCTAAGCAGACAACGGGGTGTTTGGGATTCTTCAGGACGACAGTTTAGGAAGTGTAGTCCCAGAACCCCTCTGCTGGAGAAGTCCCCACCCCACCCCACCATAAACACTGCTGACTGGTCAGACTAACTGCCGTCAAGGTCCCACCACTCTTGGGACACCTGCCAGTCACACCTGGCCCCTTCTGCGGGTCATGGACAAACGCCCACCCCAACTGGCCTTGCCCTGAGGTAGCAGGCTGAGGCTTTGAACCTGGCACTGAGAAGGCACAGCCCTTCCTCTCCATCCAGCCTGGAGAGGCCCTCGTCCTGCCCTGGGAGGGTCTCTAACTCCGCCACTCACCTGCAGGAGCAGCACAAAGTAGTCCACGGGGCGGTTGCGCTGGTAGAGGTAGTGTTCTGGGGCTTTCTTATTCTTCTCGTCAAACTTCAGCTCCTGGATCACATTGGGATGTTTCAGGAGCCGGAGCAGGATCTTCTCCGAAAGGTACAGAGATTTAAAGGGCTCCACTTCTAGGGGAGATAGGGAGGCAGGAAGAATAAGCAGCTGGAGGAGTCAGGATGGGCAAACCAGGGCTTGTGTCTAGAGCCACCTCCATTCATGCTCCAGGGCACCAAGCCGGCAGGGCTCTTGTGAGTCTCTCAGGTGGGGGGAGGGGGCCTCCCACCCAAGTGGGCATCTCAGCGTCTCCCCATGCTCTCTGGGGATACGTGTCCCTGTGCTGGCACCCTGGAGGAAACAGGTCACCATTTTGGAAGTGTCGGTTTTGCTATTAATTTTCTTCTTGATATTATTTAAATTTGAGTGTGGACTTAAAAAAGAAGGCAGTTTTGCCACTTGCAACAACACCGATGAACCCAGAGGACGTTATGTTAAATGAAATAAGCCAGACACATAAGGACAAATATGTATGATACCACTTACATGATGAATCTAAAATAGTCAAACTGGGGGTTCCTGGATGGCTCAGTCGGTGGGCATCCGACTCTTGATTTTGGCTCTGGTCATGATCTCAGGGTGGTGAGACTGAACTCTTCGTTGGGCTCCACCGCTGGGGCTGGAGCCTACTTAAGATTCTATCTCCCTCTCCTTCTGCCCTCCCCCGCCCTTGTGCATGCTCTCTCTTTCTCTCAAAAAATCTTTTAAAAGTAATAGATTAGTCCAACTCATAGAAGCGGAGAGGTTAGCCAGGGCTAGTGGGAGGGGGACATGGGCGAGGTATTGGTCAAAGGGTGCAAAGTTTCAGTTAGGCAGGATGAATAAATCCTAGCGATCTCCTGCATAGCTTAGTGCCTGTAATTAGCAATACTGTATTTATTGTATACTTAAAATTTTGCTAAGACGGTAGATCTTATGTTAACATAGAAAAAATAGTAATAAGTAAAGAGGGTGGGAGGAAACTCTTGGAGGTGATGGATATGCTTATAGCAGAGACTGTGGTTAAGTTTCACAGGCGAATACTTAGCTCCAAAGTCCTCAAGTCGTACACATCAAATATGTGTTGCTTTTTGTATGTCAATCTTACCTCAATTAAGTGGTTTAAGAAGAAAAAAAGCATGGGTAAGCAAGCCATGTAAAGAACAAAGGCCTTAAATGCTATAATCAAATGAAACACAGAGAATTTAATCTGACTTATTGGTATGACATGTATCTGCTGAATGAAATGAAATTCCAAGTTAATACAGAGTTAATTACATAAGTGATACATTCCCAAAAATGTGAAGCCTTGTTGCATCACATTTTCCTATTAACAGGCATTATTATATTATTATATGTTATGTTATGAACAGATACAGCTGGTTTGCTGTGACAGGCAGGCAGTAGTTAAAAGAAGTCTGTAATCAGGCCCAGGAAACATGTTGAAAACTACTTTCAAGAAGCTCCAATTTAAAATTTTCTACTTCTTAGCACCTGGAACGGTACTAGCACTCATAACACACTCAATAAATAGATGTTGGACTGACAATTGAACTTAGTCATGGGTGTGATCCTTCTAAGTAGGAACCTTAATTAGGCCTGGGTGAGAGAAGACTAGAAAGTTCAAAGACAAATACTACCTTCTTTATAAGAAGGAGAAGTTTGTATTTGGATCCTCATTTTTTTCTTTTTTTTCTGAAGACTCCAAGATTCACAACTGACTTCTGTATTTTAAGAACTTGTAGCTCACAAGCCTATCTGGTCCTGGGAGGGACCTGTTGCCCAGTAACCCAGGCCTCATTGCCCAGTAGGACAGGGCCTTTCCCTCCTCAGCAAATCCTCGGGGGCACTCGGCCTCAGGCTCCTGCCAGGAAGCAAGGGGAGGAAGGGAAAAGAGCAGCAGTGATTTCTTTAGCTCTTTTCTTGAGTGGAAGAGAGAAAAGCAGAGCTGAGTTGTACTCACTTCCGCCCTAGATCAGGCCTGGGGCCGAACAGGGACAGTACCGTGGCCTCCTACGGCCCAACCTACGGCAGCCCCTCCCCCTGGAACAGTGGTTCTCCGTCTCCGCTGCGCTCTGGAATTAGGTTGCAAGGTACTGACGTGATTGGTGTGGGTTTCCCCTTCCAGATTCTGCTTTCTTGCCTGGGGAGGAGACGCGGGCGGGAAGCGGGGGGCAGGGCCATACCTGTGGCCATGAAGCGGTGTGTGGCCAGCAGAAGCTGTGGGGAGATCTTCACCCTCATCTCCGAGTCGGAAAGCTTGAACAGGGAGAAGTCGTGCCGCTTCCTCTCCCGGTGTGGGACCCTCTGCTTTTTCCGGTTGTCGGCTGCAGGGTCACAGGGGACAGACGGCGGCCATCTCAGAATCAGTTTTCCCACAGCCACATGGGACAGAGAGATCCCTTGGGATCCCATGAATTTCTGCAACGTGTCAACTGTAGGTGACCTCACAACTTCTCTTTCCCCGGGGAGCAGAAGGATGCTACTAAGGGACAGAAGGTGGGAGATGCTGCCAGGTCACAGGATTATTTACTCTTAGGTGGTGTGGGATGGAAGACGGGAAAGACAGGCCTGGCAACCCCCCCCTCCCCGAAGCCGGGGTTCCAGTGCTCGCTCCCCTCCTGACCAGCTGTGCAACCTCTCTGGACACAGCGTGTGCTTGTTTTCATCTACACAACGAGGTTCATAAGTAGCGATGATGCTTCTACTCATCCCATGCAGTTCTTAGGAGACTCCGAGCAGAACCTACCTGTGAAGTGCTTACAAAATGGCATTCGTACATGAGGGACTAGCTTTTTCAGCATCAAGGGGTTTGGCAGAGCCCAGAGGGTTTCCGCCTCTTGCCCTTCTCCTGTCCCCAGAGTTGGGCTTACCAGGTCTCTTCCTGCGGATTTAAACCACGCCCTGGGCAGTATCCATAGCATGTCACCCAAGGGACGTAGGTGGTCACCTCCTCTTTCCACTCACAATTCTCCTGCTTCAACCCTAGCCTCTCCCCGGGGGGGGGGGGGATTGGGAAAAAAATCAAGGGAAGAAGAAAGGAGAAGGAATGGGAACAGCCCTCTAACTTACAAGGTTGGGCTCTCTACGCGGAGCCCTCAGGCAAAACGAGGGGAACCTGTGCTACTGAGGGAGAAAATCTGCTTTTTCCAATTTAATTTTTTTCTCCCTTCTTTTTTTAAGCTTGTTTAAAAAAAAAAAATTCTCACGGGTAGAGGGAATGTTTTCTTTGGTCAGGTGTCTTTTGCTTTCCCTTAGTTTTGAGTACAATTTTGAAATGTCTTGCCTATTTCACAGTGCTAAGGGCTGCAGGGAAAGGGATTTGGGTTTTCTCTAGACTTGGCCTGGAGACAGACAGGGCTGGGGGGATCTTTCAGTGCAGGCTGAGCGGACGCAGTGGGCGTTAAAGGGAATGAAGCCCAGGGACAAGGAACCAGGGCCCTAGAATCTGGTTCCCTGGTATTCTCCTTCTCCTTTTGGAGTTCACTTCAGCCCCACTGTTTGGGTTTCCTCCTAGAAGACAGAAAGTGTCCTTCTACCGTGCTGCGGTCTTGTGGGCCTATCTTGGACCCTGGGTTGCTGCTTTAATACTCCTTTTGCTCGGGTAGCAACAGTGGCAAGATGCAGACCCAGCTGTCCTGTGGGTCAGGGTCAAGTGAGAAGAAACACAGTATTCCTGGCTCCTTGGCCTTCTCACAGCTCTTAAGGAATCATGCCAGCAGTGTATTTATAAGGGCAGGAAAGCGCTAACCCCGTCCTCCAGAGAGAGGATTGCTCAGCAAGAGAGCAGCAAATATACGTATTGGATCAATTATTTTGTTCTCACTGGTGAGCAACCTTCTGCTTTATAGGACGTTTGCCTAAATATCCCCTCTCCCTCCTCCATCAGAATGCCACTTAACATTTCATCCTTGGAGAATCATTCCTCATCTCCCTCTTCATTACTATTGTTTTAATAGGGACTATTTGGAGCATTAAGGTTGTTAAATGCTGGAGGAGCATACTCATTTAGACTATCATCACTACTATCAGCCCCCAACACCAGTGTGAATGCCTTCCCCAACAGATCTACTGAGATACCTGGGAATTCCAAATCAAGAGCGGTGGGCAGAGGTGAAGGGAGAAGGGAAAGGGGGAGGTGGAGGTTAACCCCTATTTGAAGAAGGTGGGCCTGGCCAGGGTATCAGGGCAGTACCAGATACGTGACACTCTTACTGTGTTTTGTCAGGGCCCGACCCACCTTTTGGGTTTGATCTCTTCTAAGTCTAAAGGGAAGCAGTCTTTCTGCACCACTCACTGCCTTAGAGCATCAAAGCTCTTTGTACTGGGAGCTGGTTTCTGAATGGCTGCTTCTAGCAAGCTAAGGACAGGGGTCTGGATGGAATGAATTAGCTGAGGTAGGGGAAAGGGACTGCTGTCTCATGAAGTGAAATTCAGAGGAGGAAACACTTCCTGGCCTAGGGACTCCCACAGATTTAGATAACCCTCTCATCCCACAGACAAAGCAAGCCTTTGTAATGTCTGCCAGCAAAGCTTTGATAAAGCTCAGTAACCGAAAGCAGTCACTGTCTGCGTAGAGTCCGTAATGTTCCTGAGCGGGGGCATGGGTGGGAGGGGAGGGGTGGGGAGGGAGAATGAGAAACCAGGCTGTGGGGCTGGAGAAGCGTAAGGGAGAAGAGCAGTGTCCAAGAAGGGGTATTTAAGGTTTTGGCTTAGGCTGTGTGTGGGCCATCTCATGATGGTCCCCGCCGTGCACTGATGTTGTGATGTGGGTGGACTGTGAGTGCAACCCCAGCAAGTGCTGGGGTCCGCGTCTAGATGGATGAAGAGACAAAACCAAAACCAAACAAAAGAAAAACAAAACGGGGCGGGGCGGATGGAAACAGGGGCAGAGTGGCCACCCGAGGCACACTTAGGGTCCTTTCCTTCCTTTTCCATCCAAAGGCCAGGAGCAGGAGGTCTCCTTTTCAGTCTTGGCTCCGTTCCCACCGGTTCCCTCCTGGTAAACATTTAGCTGGCATGCTCTCAGCGACGCAGGGTGCCTCAAGCCAGGTGCTCTTGCCATGCCAGCACCTAAAATTTGGGGTCTGACACAGCAGTGCACGCATGGGCTTGTCCTGTCACCCTTTCACACAGTATGTCAAACTAAGCCAGCTCTGAGAGTCTCAGAAGAAACGGGGTGACCTTGGGCAAGAGCCAAAGCCATGCACTTACTGTAGAGGTCAGTTTCATCCAGGATCTCTGACTTAATGATCTCCTCTATGATGTCCTCCAGGGTCACGATGCCCATCACCTCATAGAAGGGGTCTCCTTCTCCCTCGTTGTTCACCCGCTGGACAATGGCCAGGTGAGATTTTCCTAGAGAACAAATGAAGTCCCAGTGAAGCACCTGGAATATTTTGAGTAATCTTTCCTTGAGAGAAAATTATACAAAGTTGCGCTGTGACCCATCTTGGGACTGATCTTAGGACCTCCTTAGAATGGGAAGTTTGTGTACAAGCTCTTACAAATGCAAACCTTATACTTTTTTTTTTTTTTTACAGATTTTATTTATTGATTTGAGAGACAGAGAGGGCACGAGTGATAGGAAGGAGGGGCAGAGGGAGAGGGAGAAGCAGGCTCCCTGTTGAGCAGGGAGCCCGACATGGGACTCCATCGCAGGACCTGAGCTGAAGGCAGAGGCTTAACCGACTGAGCCACCCAGGCGCCCCTAAACCTTATACTTTTATATCTGTCTCTTTTCTAGGAAAGTTACCTAATAAACACAAAGCTAGTTAACTTTTCTTTCTTTTAACTTTCACATGTTAGCAAGTATATCTAAGCTGAAAGAGGTTGAATAATCGAAAGAATGAGGATTTGGAATCAAAAGAATTAGGTTAGGGCGCCTGGGTGGCTCAGTTGGTTAAGCGACTGCCTTCGGCTCGGGTCATGATCCTGGAGTCCCGGGATCGAGTCCCGCATCGGGCTCCCTGCTCGGCAGGGAGTCTGCTTCTCCTTCTGACCCTCTTCCCTCTCATGCTCTCTCTCTCTCATTCTCTCTCTCTCAAATAAATAAATAAATAAATAAATAAAATCTTAAAAAAAAAAAAGAATTAGGTTAGAAGTCTTTTTTCCTCCTCCAAACTTCCCCCGTAACTATCCCAGCTACTCTCTGTGAAACTGACCCTGAGCAAATCATTTAACCTCTACTGGGTCTCGATTTTCTCATCCAGAATTAGGGAATAATACCGGTATGGTGATTTTAAAACATGGCCCCAAATTCCTTGATACACCTCCTATTGAAAGGTGTGGTCTCTATCTCCTTCCCTTGAGTCTGGGCGGGCCTGTGACTGCTTTAACCAACAGAGGACAGGGAAGCATCTGCAAGGATACTTCTGAGACAAGGTCACAAAAGGCATGTGGCTTCTGCTGGAGAAATGCTCTAAGAAGTCTGAGACCACGATGGTGGAGAGGGCACACGCAAGTGTGAGTGCGCAGGTGACAGGTGCAGCTGAGCCTGGCCTTCCAGCCATCCCACCGCAGCGCCAGACAGGTGAGTGGAGAAGCTGTGTTGGCAGTGGGTCTGCAATCTCAGCTGATCCAGCGCCACCCACTGGAAGCCTCCCCAGCCGCTCCAGTCTTCTCCGGCTTCAGGCACAGAGGCTGTGAAGCAGAGAGAAGCTCGTCCTGCTGTGTACCTCGTCCAAATTCCAGACTCACAGAATCTGTGAGCATAGTAGAATGGCCGTTGCTTTATGCTTCTAAGTTTTGGGGTGGTTTGTGAGCAGTAATGGCAACTAGGATAACCAATAGCCATACAGTCATTGTGGGGCTCAGATGACCTAGCGGGTGTGTTGAAGTGCTTTGTAGACTATAATAGGTCTCTGGCAGGCAGTGAATTTTTATTGTCCAACAACTGAATAATAATAGTTAATGTGTATTGAACTCTCATTATGATTCAGGCACTGTTTGGAGCACTTTGTGTGTATTGATGCATCCAATCCTCATAACAACTCTTGAGACAAGTACTGTTGTTATCCCCACTTTATAGATGAAAAGACTGAGGCACAGATTGGTTAAGAAACATGCCTAAAGTTACATAGCCTGGAAGTGGCACAGCTGGATTGCAAACCCAGGTAACTGGATTCAGTCCCAAAGTAGGGACTGGGTCTTACCTAACAGTGCTGCAATCCTGCTTCACCTTGGTTTGTTTATATCCGCTGATAAACAGATTTCCTGGTCCTATTTCTAAAACATAAATCTGGGTGGTTCTTTTCCTTGGCTGAGAGACATTTAAGGGGAAAATCTGGAGTCCTGACTTAGAAGTTATTCTTGCCAAAAAAAAAAAAAGTAAGTTCACACTTTATCAGTGTTACCCTTTATAAGCTTGGCCATTGCTAAAAATATCAGATAAAAGGAGTAGTCAGTTTGCTGGAGGCATAATTAACCATTAAAATTATACACATGAACTTCTGTATCAGATACTTCAAATCACAAAATAGCTACCTATCAGAATTTTAATTGGAAAGATGGGATTTGTATTACTCAAGAATGGTCTCAAATTTCTTCTCCACCTTCAACCTGTCTTTCAACTGTCTCCAGACTGGTCTGATCATGCCACTGCCCTGCTCAAAAGTCCTCCAAGTTTCCCTAGTATGCACAGAATCAAATCGAGACTCATTGGTTTGGCATTATCAAGATGGCAAAATGCCCTGCTCTATCCCCCTACTCATTTGATACTCTGGGTGCGCCGTGTTACCTTCACTTCCCCCACTTTGTCCATGTGTACTTTCTAACGCTTTGTGCACACTGTCCCCTCCCACTCCACGTCCACTCTTCAAGTTCCAGCTCAGGGGCTAGCTCCTCAAGAAAGTCCTACCAGATTTGCCCCATTCTAAATTGGAACCAATCTCTCCTTGCCTGTGTTTTGAAACCCTTGATAACTCCATCAGAGCATTTGTCACAATTTGCTGCTTCTCGTAACTAGCAATGTGTGTGTCCTCTACTGCATCATGTTTTTTCCTCAGGCCATAGGCTCCTTCAGGATATACACTAAGATAGGGTACTCTCCACTTAACAGGAAGCCAAATAAATGCCTGATAAACTGAACTAAACTGAAAATCCATAGTTGATACAATAGATGATATTAAAACGAGACACTAAAACCTTTATTTTTTGATAAAATACAATGTGTTTAAGTTAAAATTTAAACTCTACATCAGTGGTTCTAAAATTATCCTTCTTTGAAGCAATTGCAACTGTATTTTGTAGCTTAGATTAGATTATGTTAATTGTTAGAATGTGCTCAATTTAAAGGGTTTTTCCTCAACACATTGTTCTTAAACTTATGGCACCTGTTCTCACTTTCCTGCTAACATGCGCTAACAGATGACAAAACAAATGACTAGTATAACGGAACTCTTGGAGAAGTGAGTAATTAAAATTATTTTCTATAATTGGATAAGTTTTGTAGTGTTGAGCTTAGAATATATATAATACAGCCATACTTCTGCCACTAAGAGATTAGTTCATGTAATGGGATTAAATAAATTAAGATTTTATGATGCTTCACAGAGTGCCATAACTTCCATGTGAAAATCAACCATTGGTCTACACTTCATAAGGTCAATTTGAGGACGTCCACTCTGTGACCGCCAGGAAATAGAGATTAAAAAACAAAGTCCTAATTACATATAATATTCAAGACAATACACTTTGTAATCTATTAGAAATATTTTGCAATTCACAATCAGCCTTTCTGATCACCTCAAATGCCTACAGAGATCTACAGACAAATGAAGGAAGTCGTTCTTCCTTGGGTACAGACTGAAATAGGAATCAGAATCAGAAATCACATAATCCTGTTCACATAACCTCTGTTCAGAAACCAGCTGTGCTCATGACACATAGACCTGAGGTCCATCTTCTCTCAAAAAAGCTGCCCTTTAAGAGACCTATCTCCTGGTACCCTTCTGCTTCCTAGGCCTCAGAAGGGTTAGGGGTGGCTCCCAGTGAAGCCAATCTTGAGACAGGGAAAACGTAGTCACTCCTTCCCGCCATAGCACTTTGTACAAACCTCTCTTTGCCATTTATAACAACAATAACAGCTATTATTATTACTATTACTATTATTATTATTATTATTATTATAGCGGCTACCTTTTGCTGTATCCACCCAAGGAGCCAGGCATAATTTCACCATGCTATTGTTCTAAGTTATTTCACCTACTACGATGGTAAGCTTTCTGGGGGGGGCAACAGCTATGGTCTACTTAATCTCCATTTCCCCAGAATCTAAGAATAACACCCAGCACAGAGTAAGAGCTCTATAACTAGTGGGTGATAGATGGATATCCATGTGCAAAAGAATGAAGCTGGATGCCTACCTCGCACCGTACACAAAAGTTAACTCAAAATGGATCAAATGCCTAAATGGAAGAGTGAAAACTATAAAACTCTCAGAAGAAAACATAGGAGTAAATCTTTGTGACCTTGGAGTAGAAAACGTTTTTTTTTTTAAATAAGACACCACAAGCACAAGCAACGAAGAAAAAAACAGATCAATTGGACTTTAGAATGCTTTTAGAACGTATTTAAGAGACTACCAGCAAATCCTATATCTGACAGGACGCTTGTATTCAGAATATATAAAGAAAATTTACAACTCATAAAAACATAACTCAATTAAAAACTGGGAAAGGATGGGACTAGACAGTTATCTGAGGAAGATATCCAACTGGCCAATAAGCACATGAAAAGATGCTTAGCATCTTCATCATTAGGGAAATGCAAATCAAAACCAGAATGAGATACCACGTCACACCCACCAGAATGGCTATAATAAAAGAGACAATAACAAATGTTGATATGGATGTGGATAAATTGGAACCCTTAGACATTGTTGGTGGGATTGTAAAATGGGTTACCTGCTTTCGAAAAGTTTGGTGGTTTCTCAAAATATTAAACATAAATTATCATATGATTCAGCAATTCTACCGAATCCACATACGGGTATATACTTCGGTAAACACCCAAGCAAACTGAAAACATATGTCCTCACAAAAATGTGTACACAAAGGTTCATATTATTCTTAAAAGCTTAACAGTCAAAACAATCCAAATGTGCATCAACTGACGAAAGGATGAATAACACGTGGTATATCCAGACAGTGAAATATTGTCTGGCCATAGAAAGAGAATGAAGTAGGGGAACATGCCACAACATGGACAAACTGTGAAAACATCATGCTGAATGAAAGAAGCTAGACCCAAGAGGCCACACCTTGGTATGATTCCATTTATATGAAATGTCCAGAATAGGCTAATCTATACAGAAAGAAAGTAGATCAGTGATTGCCAGGAGCTAGAGGAAGAAGGGG